AATTTTTAGAGGGAAATTGCAGTATCTAGTACAATGGAAGGGATACCCGTTATCCGAGGCCACCTGGGTGAAATCCAGTGAAGTAAAGGCTAATAGATTGGTCAAACGGTTTCATGTGAAACACCCCAACAAACCGAAAGATAACCCTTAACATATGCTTTGGTTTGCTTTATAGGATCTATCCTTTTTGTAAGGGGGGGGGCGGATGTCAACGCTGCAAATACTGTATATTCTTGCTTTGACAATGTGCAGAACTGTCTGGTATTTATATAGTTAAACCAGCAACCAGGAAAGAGGGAGGAGCATAAGGATAGCCCGGGAGAAAGAAACCGGAAGTAAATCACATCTTCCAATCAACTTGGAAGATGTGAACCATGACCCTACAATAAGGGAGTGGAAATGTTTGGAATGTTATCCGTACGGAAGAGAAGCAGATCTAAGCATTCCTCCATATTGTGCTGACGTATCTGTAACATTAATAAATGCTTTTAGGAGAAAATATGCCTGAAAGTCCTTTTTAGTGGTTCGTTAATCAGACACATGACAATAAGATTGTCAGCCAGATGGATGCATTTAGTACTGCATTTCTCTGGAAATAAGACCTAATTTGAAAATAAGCCCTAATGCGTCTTTTGGAGCAAAAATTAGTATGAGATCAGTCTTATTTTCAGTATAACGGGATATACAAAGACATGATGGTTAAAGAGCAGAAATGTCAATTATATTTGAGATATTTTTGGGTACAGTACTGTATCTTATCCCTGGTTTTTTTTACTCATAATTTTCAGATTCTCCATCTCAATCTGTTTGTTATCAGGTCGAAAGAAGATTTTACACTGTCTGCCGATAATATTGCTATTAATCAATTAGACAGGAGCCAGTCAATCACTGAAGGGTTATTTCTATTGGAATGACTCGGATATGATCAGCAATCATTTTTTGGGGTCATGCTGTGACCAAATTCCTACTTAGCACTAAACTATCATGTGTTTTTCTCTGCGTTGGTATTGTGTGTATGTTACCCCTGTGATTTATGGACCATAGATTATGGGTTAACATGCTGTGTAAAAAGAAACCATTTTACAATAAACCATGGTTATAAACAATGGCTCCCACTCGAGATGCTCAGTGTTAAAGTGTATGAACGCTAATAATAGCTAATGGGGAAATTATAAAATATACAGATAATCAAATGAAAAAATTAAAATTGTCGAGTTAAATTTATGTTTCGCCTCATGTATATCCATATATATATGAACCTTTTTTCATTAGGTGTAATTAAAATGTCTGAACATTTGCTGTAAGTTTATTTATTTATATCCAAGCTTTATTATTTTTTTCAAATAACTCAAGGTGATGAACATATCCAGCACATCTTTCTCCTATTTTCCCCACAACAACAATCCTGTGAAGTAAGTTGGGCTGAGAGAGAGGGAAAGTCACACAGATGGTTTTCGTAGCTAAGGTGGGATTAGAACTCATGGTCTCTAGCCCGGGGCCTTAACTAGTAGACCAAATAATTTTCTGTAGCTCTGGACAATCTGTTTACTGGCCTCATGCCTGAGATGTTTTAGAAGACTTTTTATCATTACAATAACCTCTTTCCCCCCCTTCAAAAAAATTATAAGGAGAGGTCTTAGTATCATCTTCTGTTTGCAATCTTCCCAATTTCTCAGTTCCTCTTTTGACGAAGACAAAATAGTTCCACAATATTAATAGCAACACAAGTTCAATTCAGAAACCCAAGATATCAGCCTTATCTCTTTCCACTCTATTAACAACTTTTTTATAAGTTTTTATTGAGTACAAAGAAAAAAAAGGATTAAAAACATTGAACATGGTAAATCGTCTTTGACTGACATCTCAGTCCGTATTGTACATTAATCACATATAATATATCTATATACAAACTATACATTTCTGGTCTCTATCTTAACTTATCTCTTTATTTGTGACCTCCATTTTTTCCCCTCCATCTATAAAATTTATTCCATATTCGATAAAATTCTGTTTCTTCCTGATTTTTTAATCTTTTAGTTATCCTATCTAGTTCTGCGCAATACATAATTTTCTAGAAACAACTTTTTTGACTCCAGGAAACAATCCTCAATACCTAATATTCAGAAGTAAGGATATTATGGGATGTAAGATGGTGGAGTATAGACAAACCTGAAATCAAAGTATATGGTCGGTCATGGAAGGTAGGGAAAAGAATAAAAGAGAATATTTGTAATTCAGGGTTGAACTATGGAGTCTTTGGTGCTCTCTGAGCTTGGTTATTTTCTTGCAGACATTTCATTACCCAACTAAGTAACATCATCAATGCATTGATGATGAAGTGACCTAATCTTTAATGCCTTTCGTTGCATGGGCCCAGATTACCTGAAGAACCATCAATGAAAGCATTAAAAACAGCAGACAGAAAATTCCAAGCTAAAAAAAAAAATGGCACAAAAGGAAAACGTGAAAAAGGAATAGGTATATCTATATCATTGTCACCATCAACAACAAAAGTTTATTTGTTCCACAGCAAGATAATCCGGCTATATATCATATATTCATTAAAAAAAATAAGGCAAGCATTTTGAAATACCAACCCCAAATGTAGGAGTCCATGGCTGAATATTACACATTTAATTAAAAGTATTTTTATACTTGCATTAAGTATATTTTGCTTTTGACCTCAAATACACTGTCATTTTCATAGCTACACAACGATTTAATTAAAACACACATATACAATCCTCAGGTTTTTCCATTTCTTGTAGAAAGAGAAATTGACAGTTGAATGAGAGAAGAGGCAAGTATCATAGATTATTTATCAGCAGTTTTCACTCTTTCAGAGATAACACAACAAGACAAAGCAAAAAAAAGGAAAAGGGGGGTTGTAAAAAGCATTAATGAAGCTTGGCTGTCAGATTTTCTATAGTTTAGCTGCAACTATGTTGTATGAAAAGAGACCGACATGAAATAGAAATAGTTCTGAAAAAAGGGAGGTTGGCTAAAAAGCTAAAGAAATACACCTGTTTTTAATCTCCCAGTAAGATTTTGCATTACATTATCATGCAAAATATTTCACAAGAATATTTATTTATTACATTTTTTATGCCGCACATCTCACCTACAAGGTGACTCTGGGTGGCTTACAAGTTATAAAACAAGTAAAACATAATTAGAACGTTAAAACATTAAAACTACACAGATTAAAATATTATAAAGGTAAAGATAAAGGTTTCCCCTTTGCATTCAGGTCTGGACTCTAGTGGGAAAGTGCTCATCTCTATTTCTTAGTTGAGGGAGCCCGCGTTGTCTGAAGACATTCCTGTGGTCATGTGGTCAGCGTGACTACAAACTAAGGTGCAAAGAACACTGTTAACTTCCTGCTGAAGTGGTACCTATTTGCAATAGTGGCGAATATCTGTAGTTTGGGTGTAGAATGAGGGTGAAGGTTCATTCGCTAAGCGTATGGGTTGATTTCTGAACATTTTGTTACCAGGCTAGGTAACATCTTCAGCAGAGTTTAGAGGATATCAGTATTCTTCTGTTTATAAGGGCTTCAGGTATGGGTGTGTCATATGAGGGTCTTGTGATGGGTCTTGTGATGGGCCAACTGTGAGTCATCAGTGAAGGGCTTGTGATGGGTCTTGTGATGGGGAGGTTACCTCAGGTCAGGGTCATTGGGAGGTGAACTACTGGTGGGGGGTAGGAGGGGATTTGCGTGGGTTGGTTGAGGGTTGCTGCTGTCTCTGGTTGGCTATGTGGTTGATTTGGATCCTGATGGGTTCTTAGGCTGATTGTAAGTCAATGTGTCTGTTGATGGAATTGCTTGTGGAGTGCCAGGCTTCGATGAACTCACAAGTGTGACGGGTGGTAGCATGGCCAATGATTTTTGTGTTACTCAGATTGAACTGGTGCTGTTTGGTGTTGGTGTGAGTAGACATTAAGGATTTAAGATCGTGGCGTTTGACTGCCAGCCAGTGTTCGAGGATCCTATTTTTTAATTAACGTGACATTTGTCTCATGTAGAACTGGTTGCAATTGGTACCTATTTATCTACTTACATTTGCATGCTTCAAACTACTAGGTGGGCAAGAGCTGGGGCAAGAACGGGGGGCTCACTCTGTGATATAGTGCTCGGGTCTCAAACCCGGGTTGTCAGCTTTCCAACTGTCAAGTTCAGCATCTTTAACTGCTGAGCCATGATGCCCCTCAAAATATTATTAAAATCTATACTAAAACTGAAACTAAGAAAGCAAAGAGATGGATGAAACGGGAATAAGGTATTCATGAGAAAACAATATTCCTGTTTTCCAAACTGCGACAACACTTGTTTATCTCACTGATTGGATGATTAGTGATATTTGTGCCATTTTCTTCTAGTTTCCTAACATTTATTTGTGTTAAATCTCAGTAAAGCTACCTTACTTCTTTGTACCCTGCCCAGGGCCTCCTTCATCTGATCATTCCTCAAACAGTAGATCATGGGATTGAGAAAGGGTGTAATGGCAGTGTAGAAGACAGTAACTAAATTTTTGATACCCGACTGGTTTTCCGCACTTGGGGATATGTACATCCCTGCTACGGAACCATAGAAAAGGGTGACCACCATGAGATGGAAGGAGATGGTGGAGAAGGCCTTCTTACTGCCGCTTTGGTGAGTGGCTTTCACCAAGGTGAGAACCACAGCACTGTAGGATAACACAACAAAGAACAGGTTGAGTATGATGACCAGAGAGCTCATTGCAAATTGATAGTGAAGGAGCATATTTCTAAGCGGAGAGCAAGCCAAGGAAAGGATGGGTCCAGGATCGCATATCAAATTATCAATGATGTTAGGACCACAAAAATCCAACTTGGAGATCATAACAACTGGGATTAGATTCCACAAAAAGCCCAGAATCCAACAGATAGCCACAAGGGCATAGCAGGAATGAGGAGACATGATATAGGGGTAGCGTAGTGGGTGGCAGATAGCCAAATAGCGATCCAAGGCCATGGTTGAGAGGAAAAAGCACTCTGTGGCACCAAGACTAACGAAGCTGTAGTACTGAAGGAAGCAGGCATGGAAGGAGATGGTACCATTTGGTGAAATCAGGTCCAAGATCATACGGGGTACGGTTGTGCTCACATAACACATCTCTAGCCAGGAGAAGTTGCTCAGCAAGATGTACATGGGAAGACGGGCCAAGATGGTGTCCAGGACCACCATGGTGATAACGATGATGTTCTCAGCCAAAGTAAGGATGTAGAGAGTAGTGAAAAAAATAAGGAGCAGTAAGTGTTTCTTCTCCCCATCTCCAAAGCCCACCAAAATGAATTCCTGGACTTTGGTGCTATTTGCTGTCGCCATCTTTTAATAAGGTGACCACCTTTTTTACAATGAGAAGGAGGACACAAATAAATTGAAGAAAAAAAAGTGAGTCTAATGCATGCGTGTGTGCCGTGCCGTGTTTCGGTAAGAAGTAAACAAAGCCACTTGCGTGCAGTGCACTCTTGCGCGTGGCACACTCTCTCAAAACAATTCTCCTGTGCGGAGCGCATGTGTCTCATAATCGCGTCTCGCCACACTGTACCAAGCCTTGACGAATCGTCATGTCAAATACAAATATGTCACATCACACGCAACAGATCGGCTTGGCATCAATCGAATACGGAGATTTACAGATCTGTAGGAGGACACTTTTCAAGAGAGGACAGAACTTACAAAAGAAGGACTGTCCTCCCTAAAGGAGGACGATTTGTCACCTTATCTTTTAACATATAATACAGGTAACAGAATATACCTCTGAGTAATCAAGGTCCATAATCTTTGGAATATCTGTATTCTAGATAAGATTTTTTTGCTGAGAAATGTCACATGAACTAAAGTTTGTGGAATCCTTGGTGCTCTCTGAGCTTGTTGGTTTTTCTGGTAGACATTTCATTATCAAAGTAGGTAACATCTGCAAGGAGCACTGATGATGTTGCCTAGTTTGGTAATGAAATGTTTGTAGGAAAATAACCAAGCACAGAGTACCAAGGACCCCACAGTTCTACTCTGATCTACAAATATTCCTTTGCTGATCTACCAGTTCATAGCTGAGTTAGGATTGGAGTTGCAGTTATATCACAAAGTACTCATTTTAGCTTTAAAGATTTAGCAGAGTTTTAAGATGAAAAATGGAAGATCTTTAAGAACTCATCAATGTTCTCCCCTCCCACCCCATATATTTATAGTTAGATAGATATCTATCATCTAACTAGGTATCTCAATTAAATCACACAATTAAGCCACACAATTCTTTTATCAGAGAAGACAGCCTACTCTGCAGAGGTTATAAGTGCAGAGGTTATAAGAAATACTATTTCAAAGAAATTAAACATGAAAAAGGAAAGAAAAGGAAAGTACAGCAAATCTTAATTTAATGAACTGTTTAATTATTAACTAGGTATCTCAATTA